CGACCGCCCCCGGCCGCCACACCGCGCACCGCCCGCGGCCGTTCGACCCCGAGTCCCGGTCCGACACGCTCAGCAGCGCCACCACCGTCCCCACCGCCGCGTCCTCCGGCACCGGCACCGACAGCGACGTCACCCACACCTCCGGCGCGTTGTCGTTCACGTCCAACACCTCCAACACCACTTTGCAGTGACCCGAGAACGGAGGGGAGCCTTTGTCTCTCGCTTCTACAATGATCTCGTAACTATCCATTTCTTCGTAGTCCAATTTCCCTTGAAGTCTAATTTCTCCTTTTTTTTGGTCAATAGTGAACATTTCTTTAACTTCTTCAGTGACATGTCTACTAAATAAATATGTAATATCACTATTGATCCCTTCGTCCAAATCCGTGGCACTGAGCGTGATTAACAAACTCCCGGGCTCTGAACCCTCTAAAACTTTCACTTTATACACTGACTGGTTGAACTGGGGCGCGTTGTCGTTCGCGTCCAGCACCGAGATCAACACCTCCATCGTCCCCGACAGAGACGGCCGGCCACCGTCACTCGCCGTCAACACCAACCGGTGCACAGGCATCGTCTCGCGGTCCAGAGGTTTCGTTAGAACAAGAGCCAAAGACGCGGTCTGGTCGTCATTCCCCTGGTGATTGAGGCTGAAGTGCTCGCTGGGGCTGAGTGTATAGGAGAGCTGCGCGTTCGATCCGATATCTGCATCCGACGCGCCCTCCAGCGGGAAACGGGAACCGGGCAGCAATGATTCCGCGATGCTAAAGGCTTCTTCGTTCACGCGGAATAGTGGGGCGTTGTCGTTGATGTCGGTCACCTCCAGCTCCACGTGGAAGACGCGCAGCGGCCGCTCCACCAGCACCTCCAGCCGCAGCGCGCACGGCGCGCTCTTCCCGCACAGCTCCTCCCGGTCCAGCCGCGAGCTCACCACCAGCGCCCCGCTCGCCCCGCTCACCTCCACGCTCGCCCGACGGCCCGCCGACACCAGCCGCAGCCCACGCCACTCCGCCTCGCCCGCCTCCAGGCCCAGGTCCTGCGCCAGACGACCCACCACCGTCCCGGCCTTGCCTTCCTCCGCCACCGAGTACCGCACCTGACCCACCACCAGCGCCCACGCCGCCTGCACCACCAGCACCCGCAACACCGCACCCCAACACTGCCGCGGTGGTCCACAAACGCCCATTGCAGTCATCGATTCCTTCTTCTTCCCACCGTGTCGTTACAGAGCTTTGTATTGAGACGGGTTCAGCTGTGCGCCGTACAGTAATCCTTTCTCAGGGGCTGCACATCCTCCTCTTCGCTGCTCTTTTGCTCCTTTGCGTTCTTTTTTGATGTGCACCGGAAGGTCTTTCTCCGCCCTCCCCCCGCTTTTATCATACGTTTATTAGGTCAGAGCGGCATCATGTGGCGCCCTGCACGAACTGCCTCTTACGGTTCTCTTGAAATGGCCCTGCTTTGCTTCATCTCTGCCATTTTCCATTCCATGCAAATAAATTCTCTCTCACTTTGTTTCCGAAACAAAGCTTATGCCCAGCATTTTCACTCCATTTGTTCAGGAGAAGTTCATATAATTCTCCCCACCTTCTTCGTAGAGCACCCTTCTGACAGTTTTTCTGAAACACAGTGCTTTTCACTAATTACAACTGGATTTGAAACCTGAATTTTCTTCTTCGGTTAGAACGGTTAGAAAAATCCCCTCTTTAAAAAAAAAAAAAAAAAAAAAAAAAAAAAAAAAAAAAAAAAAAAAAAAAAAAAAAAAAAAAAAAAATCCCCCCCTTTTAATTCTTCTCGGAGACGCTTTCTTTTCTTTTCGACTGGTGTTTATTGTCACCTCTGCTCGTCTTGATTTGTAGCCCCTGTCATCAGTTCAAGTGGCCGAAAACACTTCACACTTATTTTCCCAGTAAAATGGTCTTGCCGTAAGTTACATTGAAGATATTTTTCAATTAATGGGGACAGGTCGCAAGATGACACTGAATGGGCTCCTCTGTTAGAGACCTTGAGATTTAATGGAAGTGTTTCCAAAAACATGTGAGTTCCACATGCAGTTTTATACATTTATTGCAACAAAATGTATCGAGCAGTGGTTTGTAACCAAGCCATCGGGGTGAGGGCGTTCTGTGAGCAAGTCTTGTAAGGACTGAGGGTAAAAGGAAGAGGGAAACGGCGAAACAGACCCCTTTCTCTCTGTCGCTGGGTTCCCCCCCAATATCATCCTTCTGAGGGAACAGGAGGGTCAAACGGTTTGGCGATAACAGGGAGTATCTCCAGTGAAGGAGTTACCTATCAGCTTTGCTGACACCACAAATGACCACCGTGCTATGAAACGCTGAGTGGAAAGGGGACGCAGAAGCAGAGCAGACTCTGAGAAACGCAGATTGCTCCACATTTCCCTCTACACGGAGCCGGGGGAGGGGGGGGACGGGAGGGCAGAAACGAGAGAAGACGCAGTCAACACGCGTGGTGAAGACAGTCCCTTGGGAGGAAGCAAAGAGAGACGCGTCGTGGGCTAGAGCCTTCCCTTATATCACACAGGGCTGAGTTTTTTCGCTATCCGTGCTCTCCATTCGCGCTCGCCGTTTACCTCCGCTCGTCGGTATCGCAGGATATTGGAATAAATGTTACCGTCCCCCGCACCTCCACCCTGGCAAAGCCGCGCGCGCGGCTCTTGGGAAGATTTTCAATCACCCTTTGAGGCTTGAAAATCCGCCGCCTGCCCACACAGCCCTCGGCCGCATTCACCATCACCGGCCCCGGGACCCCGCAGGCAGCCGGGCTGCGGCACACCGGCCCCGCGGCCGCCGCGCCTCCCGCAGCCGGACTGAGGAGGAGAACAACTTCTGCCGTTACCTCGGCAGCTCATGTACACGGACCGCAGTTCCAAAGATTCTTGAATACGATTGTGCCTACCGACCTTTTTGTATTACTGCCCGACTGACCTACACAGCGCCGCCGGTTCATACCGAAATCCGCCGCTGAAGGGGGTCAGACGTCCCGGGCACAGCAATGATGTCTTGAGTCCAGCTCCGTCCCTGATGCTTTTTTTTTTTTTTGTATGGCTTATGCCATCAAAACGCAAAGCCGAACTCTTCCTACTGCGTCTTTGTAACTTACCTGCACTTCCTTATCCCGACCAGTGACAGGGTTCTCTCCCCGAGGAAGGCATACAGACCACGTTTCGTATCCCAGACCCTTGTGGAAGTTCAGCCTTTGAAGATGAAGAGTGGTCTCTCTCTCCAGTGCTACTCTCGAGCAGAGCAGCCTACGGAAAACGACAAAAGACACCTCTGGCAGACACCGCTGCTGCTGGGCACTCGGACTTACTAAGGCCATTAGCACGTCCCTATCGCATTCATAACGCCCACACAGGTTTTGTAATTCTCTTCCATTGTTCAGGTCTACACACGGATTTTCTGCAGACTCACACCGTCATTACCATAGACCACAGGTAAACAGACAGAGACAAATGTATCCTATCAAACAGAACAGCATTCATTAACTTTTTCCAGGTGCGGGCATCAGAATTGATCTTTTTCATAACAGAGGATCGACGAGTAAGATTCTTGCCGAGTTAATCTGGAGACACGTTTCCAACCTCTGAGTTTCCTGGAGTTTTCTGGCAGTTTGTTTTAATTCGTGTGAGATTTTCAAGACCCGCCTGGATGCAGTCCTGAGTAATGTGCTCTAGGCAATCCTGCTTTGCAGGGGAGTTGGACTAGATGATCTCTAGAGGTCCCTTCCAACTCTGAAGATTCCGTGATTCTGTGAAATAAAGGTTTGGGTAGAGATTGCCGTCTTGACTCGTGGATAGGAAAAGATGCCAGCACAGATCTTCTGTCAACAAATTCATCACGCTCGCTCCACATGAGCCCAGAGGTGTTTAAGCAGGATAGGTTTGGGGTTTTATTTCTGCCGACTTATCCCCTTGCTATGTTAATCCACTTACCTGGAACAAGTAGATCTTCTCTGGAGGAATATTTAATGCCATATGTATAGGGATGAAAATACAATGCCGACGTCAGCAGGAAGAGCACCATTTTATTTTCAAGTATCTTAGAACCATACTAGGGTCTAAGTTAAGATTGCTGTAAAATGTAGTAGGATGTTTTTAATGCAGTAAAACAGCTGTTAAGGAGATGACATCAGGGATAGAGGACACGGTGTCCCTTTTCCTATGGTCTGAACACTTGTCTGCATCATTTCTATATCCACAAAGCAGCAGCTGGAATAAATGGTCCCACAATGCCAGAGATCTGAGCTTAGCTAGGGGTGAAGGTGTTTAAGCAGAGAAACAGTTAAAGAATGCAGGATAACCTACACGTTGGAAGAGTTGTTTCTTGCTTCCTCAAATTCAATCCACGTGAAATTCTTATATTGTGATGAAATCCAGCTACTACCCAAGTAGCAGTAGGGTAGCGGGTAGCATCGGTAAACCCTTAAGCGTTGCCACAGATGTACAACTAAGTTGCCTTTTATACCACCTGTATCTATAATGAGAAGCTACGAAGGTCATAAGGAAAAGCTGAGATCCTGCAAAAAGCACCCGGGTTTGAGGAGGGCTTAGCTTAGCTACTCCAACTTTTGTCAGTCTCAGAGTATGCCCTATGCCTCTTACAGTGAGGAGCGGGTATCCTCATCAATAAAGAACCTGTACAGAAAAAATCAGTAAAAAGCTACTTACCTTTACACCCCGACAGCCCACCAAGTGCCCGGGCGTTACTCCGAGTCTCCTCCATTAGACAGGAAGGGCTGAAAGCCTAGTTGAACCGTTGCAAAAGATAACCACGAGTTTCGACATCCTGAGTACAGTTCACCCATCAGAGCTCAGGGAGGGAACGCTGGATTCTTGGAAAAGCGAGTACAGCCCAATGACAAACACTTACAGCCAAAACATTCGTCTCCTGTCGTTCTTTAGACAGTGGAAAGACAGACAGACTTTTCCAAGGATATTTGGTAAGCCCTAGTTCGACCCCCTCTGAACTCAAAGCATGACTTCAGTTACACTTTGAGACAAGAAATGGTAAGAGGGAGAAAAGCTGGAGCTCCGGCACAATCGCTGCCGTGATACAGGACACTTCCAGCTTCCCCGTCCCCGAGATGGAAAGTGCCGCACAGCAGCTCCAGATCAGCCGGCTCAGGGCGACTGTCCCTGTCGTCGGGGATCCGGAGAGAAGAGCCCGTCCCCTCCTGCAGGGCAGGCGAGCCCCGAGCTCACATTGTCGGATTCGTCTTCCTGTGACGCGGGTCCTTCACGCCTCTTTAAGGCAATTTAGCGGTTAGAGCACGGCACGGATAAGCCGAGGTCTGGTTTCAAAGCCTTCCCGAGACTGACAGCGTTAATTCGAGAGTGCCCTAGTCACCCGTACGGGATGCCACCGGTCCTTTAGCGTGGCATTCCGCCCTGGGCGAGGCTGGGGACAGGGGTGACCTGGAGCACTCATCGCCGCGGGGTTTAGTCCTCGCTTCTGCACATCACCCTCAGGCAGCAACCGAAACATAACGGGGACCGGCTCAGGCCGCGGGACACCAAAACCGTCCCACCTCTGCCTTCAGGACGCTGCCAGAGCTGGCGCCTCCCTCCCCGGCGCTTCTTGGGAGGATACATTAAATAATAATAATAATAATAATAATAATAATAATAATAATAATAATAATAATAATAATAATAATAA